TCAACTCTTATTTGCAAAACCTAATCTGTTTTAATCTACTTAGTAAGCATAATTGGGAATTTCTATTGAAACTGTTCCTCGTGGGATCGACTTTTATTTAATCGAAATACTATACTGCGATTGATAATTTGGTACGCTTGCCAATAATTCAACAGATAATCCTTTGAGTTTGGAGTGTATAATATTTTAAGCCTGGAAGGAAGACCATGAAAAGTTGAAGAGTCAAAACTTTGATAAGAATGTCAGCATGTTTATTCTTGTAACTAATAAGAAGAAGTTTAATGATCTCGTGTTGAAGTTTTTTCCTTACTATATGACAATCAATTCCTATATGTTTTTCATACGTTCATGAAAAACTTGATTGGATGCAACTTATAGGACATATTGGTTATCGCAAAACAAAAGAACTGGTTGCGGATGTTGAATATTGAGGTCTTGAAAAAGATAAAATTCATGGTAATTCACAAGTAGTGGAGGTCAATGCCCTGTATTTTGCTTAAGAGGAACTTCTAGACATTATATTTTGCATCTTTGATCTCTAAGAAATAGGTGAATGTCCAAGATATACAATGTAACCAATAACATATTTTCTCATTTCAGGGCACCCAACCCAATCGAAATCACTAATCCTTGTGTTTCTGACTTCACTATTCATAGCAAGAAAAATACATTGTCCAAGAGCTTGTTTCAAATAACAAAGAACATAAAAAGCTGCTTGTTAACGAGCTGTAGTAGGAGCAGCGACGTACTAGTTGAGATTATGGACGTCATGAGTGATGTCTGGCCGAATGTTGGTAAGATATATCAATTATCCAATGAGTCTTATGTAGGATGTAAGATCAAGTAAGAGGTCTTCATTGTCTGCGGAAATACATTTTAAGAAATTCATGGGTGTTGAGACGGGAGCCAAACGAAGCATGCCAATTTCATGCAAAAGATCCAAGGCATATTTTCGTTGAGGGAGGTGTATGCCCTTCGTACTCCTCGCCACCACAATACCAAGAAAATAAGTTAAATTTTCAAGGTTTTTTATTTTAAACTTTTGATCTAGAACAACAGTGATGCTATCTATTTCATTAATATCATTCCCAATTAACATAATATCATCTACATAATCTTGAAGGAAGGTAGTGTTAGAATTAATGACCTTAATGAAAAGAGAGTGATCAACATTAGCTTGCTTGTAACCATGAAAGACAAGAAAAGTTGAAAGTTTATCGTACCATTGGCGACTGACTCGTCTAAGCCTATATAAAGATTTGTGCAACTCATAAACTTGGTTATGATCTATAGTCCCGAAACTTAGTGGAAACTTCATATAAACCTTTTCATTTGGGTTCCCATGCAGAAAAGCGTTATTAATGTCTAACTGCTTTAAATGCCAGTTCATTACAACAACTAGAGCAAGCAAAATACGAATAGAGGTAAGCTTTGCAACAAGGGAGAAAGTGTCTAGAAAATCCAGCCCCTCCATCTATGTGTACCCCTTTTCAGCAAGGCAGACTTTGTGTCTGTCAATACTCCCATTAACTTTGTATTTTATCTTGTAAACCCATTTACAACCCACAACATTTTTATTGTTTGATAGAGTGATTATGGTCCATGTATTGTTTCTTTCAAGGACAAGATTTTCTTCATCCATGACTTTATGTCAATTGTCATTTTTAACCGCTTCTTCAAAAATATTTGGTTCATTATTGTTATCAATAGAGAAAACAACACATTTGGAACCAGGAGCTAATCTATCATAAGAAACAAAGGTCTCAATAGGGTATTTGATGTTTCTAGAAGGGACAAAAAACATGTGATAATCCTTCAAGTATGATGGAGGATTTCTTCTACTAATGGTATGTTGGTTAGTTTCAACATCATCATTGTTATCAATAAAATCATGATCAATATTTTCATCAGCATAATTCAAGCTGTCAGGGGTGTTATTGCCACATTAGAATTGTTATTAGCCAAATCTGTCTCATTATGAACATGATCAATATAGTCATCATGATAGGCTTGGGGAATAGGGAGAGATTTCGAAACATAATCATTGATTTTATCATATTATTTGGAGTAAGAAAAAATATTTTCATAAAACATAGTATTCCTCGAAATAGTTATGTCATGAGTTTTAAGATTAAAAACAATACACCCTTTGATATTTGGCTTAAAACCTAAAAATAGCCCAACGATAGCACGGGGATTGGCCATTAAAGTGTCGCTATAACATAAACATTTGAAAACTCTAACATGACTAAGATTTCATTTTTTATTGTATAACTTTTCAAGATGAGACAAATTATTTAGAAAGAGAGTAAGAATTCGGTTAATCAAGCAACATGTATGACAACATAAGACCAAAATTGGATAGGGATATTTGACCTGAAGAGGAGAGCACGAGTAACATTCATCAGATGTTGATGCTTCCTTCCCACCACTCCATTCTGTTCAGGTGTCTCTACACAACTTGTTTGATATATGATTCCCTCATTATTGTAAAAAATTTTCTTATTAAACTCAAGGCCATTATACTTCTTATGATCCTAATAGTTTTACCAAATTGATTTTTGACAAAAGCTATAAAATGAAGAAGATGATTACGAGTTTTAGATTTGTTAGTCATTAGATATATCCAAGTGAAGTGTGAGTGCCCATTAATAATAGTGAGATAATATCTATGAGCAAATAAAGAGGGAATGAAACATGGTCCCAAAATTTTGACATGCACAATATATCAAAAGGATTTTTAGCATGAGAAACACATTTAGAAAAAGACAACTTTTTTTGTTTCGCAAGATGACAAGCAATACAAATATCAATCTTGCTATTATGAATGTAAGAATGTTTCTGCTTCAGAATATTAAGTCTATCGTTAGACAAATGACTTAGCCTATCATGCCATAAGTTGCTGCTAAAACTATTACAAATTTGAAAACTATTATTCAAAGTGGGAAGCTTATCATAATTTCTAAACACATATAAGCTAGCTTTAGATTTAGCTATACCAATTTTTCCTTTCGTGTTTGTATCCTTAATGACACAAAGGTTAGGGGAAAAGATAATCTCAACATCAAGAGAAGAGGAAAGTTTAGATATAGAAATCAAATTGTACTCAAAAGCATGAATGAAAAAAACATCTTTCAAAATCAATTTTTCATTCAATTTTACGTGGCCAATGTGAGTAGCAACTATTTTAGCACTATAGTCAAGATCCATATATGATTTTCTTTTATATTGCAAGAATTGATGAAATGTTTACCTAACTGAGACAAATCAAAGGTAATGGTGTTTATTTGATTCACACGTGTGTCCTCAGTGACATCTTCTCGGTTATTTGAACGCAACAAAGCCAATAGAGCTTGATATTGTTTTTAAGTCAAACACATTTCTTGATCTCCACCAGCATTGTCATGCTTTGCTTCTTTCTTGGTTTTGTATACTCTAACAGAATTGTTTTTGTTGTTGTAGAATTTGTGTCCAGGCGGAAAACCATGTTTCCTTTAACAATTATTTATGGTGTGCCCATTTTGTCCACAGTGAGTGCAAGTTCTTTTAACAAAATTCTTCAAATTCTTGCTTTCATAATTTTGAGGAAAACCATTTTTCTTGTAGTAAAAAGATTTTGTATGTTCAGATTTACCACAGTAATTACAACTCAATTGGGTATTTTCAGTGTTAATTTTATATTAGTTTCAGAATGAAGATTGTTTCCCATAATTTGATGCTCCTGTTGTGCCACATATGAGAAAATTCTACTAATGGGAGGAATGGTATCTAACAAAAGAACATAAGATTTCGCATTGTTGTATTGTTCATTAAGAATCCTAAGAAATTGCATCACACAACCCTTACTCTTTCTTTGAGTAATTAAAACAATCATACCACAAGAACATTTTATAACACAAGAACATGTATGATCAGGTCTAAAATTATCAATCTCACCCCAAATGATTCTTAGCTTAGTAAAGAATTATGTTACCGTTAATTCTTCTTGTCTTATAGTAGATACTTTGATCTCTAAATATGAAATTATCATGTGATCACCTTGAAAATATTTAAATTTTAGATAACTCCTTCGACTTTGTTCATCCACAAAATACTTTGTCAAACGGAGGACAAGACAAAATGAGCAAGCTATAAAACCACCATATCATTGCATCGTTTCCAAGCTTTAAAAATAAAAAAAATAAAAAGAATAAAAAATTGAAAAAAAAATAGGCTTAAACGGAAGAGTACAATTTTACTTGGTGCTGATTGTTATTCTGTTCTGTTTATTCAGATAATAAAAACAAAATTGGGAGAGAAACTATATGGTTGATGAAATCACAATACTAATAAAGAAGTACACACACAGAATATTGAAGGCAAAGCATGGGACACATTCTACATAGATTCATTATACAATTGATAATAGTATCAATTCTCACAATTTTCAAATATTTATACGTGTATCATTATCACGTATTACATTTATTATTTAGCGGTTCATATAATAGATCCATCCAAAAAAATCTTTTTTACGTTAGTTTTTAGGATTATTTTTAATTTATTAAAATAATATATTTTTTCATCTTATTTTATTAAGAATAATCTTTTCTTCATTACTTATTAAAAGAAAGTTATGTGAAAACAAAATTAGTACATTTATCACCATTATAAAAATAAATTTAAGTATAAAATAATAAAATTCTTATATCAAAATTTTAAACTAAAAGATGATGGTTAAATATTAATTTTATTATAAAAAATTATAAAACTAATTATTCGATCTTTAAATATAAGAAATAAAATAAAATATAATAAAATAAATTTATCTCATATCTTGTCAAGATTTAATAAAAAAGTAATTATTTTTTAAAATATAGTTAAATTAACTATTTTAAAAAAAAGTGACGTCACGTGATATGGGGTTGGAAGAAAATCATTTATTGATGGGTCTTGTGGTTTGAAACGAGATCTTATAATTTGATGAAAAGTAGATTCAAAACACATAACAAACTGAGCCTTCATGCATATTTAGTAGCTATATGCAGGAGAGAGCGACATAGTTCTTGTGGCTTGCTAATCATAAGCATATGGTCTGCGCCTGTGATCTCTACAACTTCAACGTTGATTCCAGCATTTTTAATCATCCAGAGCTGAAAACCCAATGGAATTTCATGGTCATCAGTGGAAACAATAAAAACGAGAGGAACTGACCCGTATCCCTCCATGGAGAAGTTTTTCTGTTGGGACAAGTCTTCGATAAAGAGGGATCCTGGTCTTACTAAGGTCGTGGCCAATTCTACATCCTGCAAAATTCGATCAGTATTTTTATCTTCACACAAGAACATGTGACTTAGTATGGACAAGAAGGTTGTAGCACTCGATTATTACTTCAGTGGATGAGGCTTGGTAGAGCTTTTCGGACAGAAATTTGGGACCGAAAGTAATTGTCGTTTTATTTTCACTCTGGGAGAATACAGTGTCCAACCAATTCATCCCCAATGTAACCTCAATTAACTGGAGAAGGAAAAAAGTCATAATATTAGGTATATACTGTTAGAATTAATTTTTAATTAATTCATTCCATTATGTGACTCATGTGAAATATTATAAAGGGCCCAAATGTGATTTAATAATTATAAGGACCTATTGGTTATTATGTGAAGTCAGAATAAAATAAAGATAAAATAAAATATTAATCGAATGTAACCAACTCGATGGACGTTGGTTAATAAAAGGGATTAGTGGTTCGTCTCCTGCCATAAGGTCTTTTTCACTGTAAACCATCAAGAAAGCGAAGCGTGTGAAGAGAAAGAAAGCAAAGAGATAGATTGGGAAAAGGAGATTGGAGAACGAAAGGATCAAGAAGGATTCTCATGGATCAAGGTTAGTTCTCTTATTAGATTCATGTATTGATGTATGCAAATGTGAAAATCAATAATCTAAAGATCCTATAGAGTAGTTTTCTATAATGAATGAAGAACGTAGGAAAACCGCATAAAGTTTACATGTGGTATCGAGCACGAGGTTATTAGATTTATGATTTTCCTTTTATGAAAGTTTTTCCTAAATTATGTTTTTCTCAAATTAGGATAAACCCTAATTATGAATTTAGGAATTTTTATCGATTAATGTGAACCCTAATTATTCCCAAATTTATTTTTTCCCAAAATTGAATAAATAGATAAGCCCTAATTTATAGATAAGGCTGTATTTAATTTCAAATTGAAATCAATTTGATAATTTATGTGTTTCCATGATTATTTTAGTTGAAAAGAAAAATGTAGGCGCATTTACTGTTTGGCTCACGTAATAGTTTTAATAATGCTCCGCTGCAATTAAGTTAATTATGCAATTAAAATGATGGGATCTGGGCAATTGAAGGAGTTCATGTATTTGATTAAGATGTTCTGCGCAAATTGCATATTAAACATGCTAAGGGTACCTTACCTGCGCGCAAGTTACGTGGGTCAGTTTGCAACAACTGCACCTAAGCATTACGTGGGCCAGTTCCTTACCTGCACGTAAAATTAGATGCTCATTACGTTGGGAGTGCATATTACATGGGCCAGTTGCATAAAGTGACGCATATTAGGTGCACCAACGTGCGCAACGTGCGCAGCTTGTATATTAGGTGCGGTAAATGTATTTGATTTTAATTCAGTGACATTTGTTTTATGATGAGTATTGGCTGCTGCAATTAATTTAAATTGCAATATAAATTTAAAACGTAAATGTTAATGTGGAGGCTAAAATGGGATACGTGAATGAATTATGGTTTGTTATTGCTAAATAAATAAATAAATAATAATAGAAAATATTATAAATGATTAATAACAATTAAAGTTATTATTTTATTTGAAATTAAGTATGATAAATTTTGTTAGTCACCAAAGTGGCCAAAATTTTAAGGTTATTTTAATTTCAAATTATTAGTGATTTTATTTCAATTACCCATAGTATGAACGCTAAAATTATGAATAATTGATTTATGGGTTAATTGAAGTTCATTATTATAAGACATTTCAGGATCACCCAAAGGTTGATTAATTGTTATTATAATTAATGAACATGAAAGTAGATAATTTTCTGTGCGTCACTAGTTTTATTTATATACCCAAAGGTATTAGGTGATTCTAGTTGATGCATATTTTAATTATCATTAATGTTATAAAATGATTAGCGTAATTATGTTTGTGTATTGGTGGATCTCCCAAAGGAGAACATTAGTATGCAGAGAATAGTAATTTATGGTTAAATCTGTATTTATGCTTAATTTTATGACTCAAAGTATTAATGTTAGGCATGTGTTAATTGCAGTATCTGTTCCTGTAGCTCTGCATTCGCTATCTTCGTCTGTTCCAGTCTTTAATGGGTTAAATTTCCCTGACTGGAGTGAACAAGTCCAATTTCACTTAGGTGTGTTGGATCTTGATTTGGCTTTCCAAGTTGAAAAACCGGCTACTATCACTGATGTTAGTAGTAATGAAGAGAAAACTCATTATAGAGCTTGGGAAAGATCAAACCGACTTAGCCTTATGTTTATGCGAATGAGTGTAGCAAGCAATATTAAGTCTCGCTTCTTCCCAAACCGAGAATGCGAAAGAGTTCATGAAATTTGTGGAAGAGCGCTCTCAACTCGTCGACAAATCCCTCGCTGGGACATTGATGAGTACGTTGACCACCATGAAGTTTGATGGTTCTCGTAGTATGCATGAACACGTAATCGAAATGACAAATATCGCAGCAAGACTGAAGTCTCTAGGAATGGCAGTGGAAGAAAATTTCCTTGTGCAATTCATTTTGAACTCGTTACCGCCTGAGTATGGTCCGTTTCAGATGAACTATAACACCATGAAAGACAAATGGAATGTGCATGAATTGCACAGTATGTTAGTCCAGGAGGAGACCAGACTCAAGAACCTAGGAAGCCACTCTATTCATTACGTGAAAAATCAAGGAGCTAAAAAGAAAGTTGTTAAGAAACATGGAAAGGGTAAAGGACCATTAAAGATTAACGAGTCCTCTACTAACATTCAGAAGAAAAATGACAAATGTCATTTCTGCGGGAAGTCTGGACATTTTCAGAAGGACTGCTTAAAGCGTAAAGCTTGGTTCGAAAAGAAAGGTGAGCATAGTGCTTACGTATGTTTTGAATCAAATTTAACCGAAGTTCCCCATAATACTTGGTGGATTGATTCTGGATGTACAACTCATGTTTCTAATGTGATGCGAGGATTCCTTTCAACCCGAACCATAAACCCAAATGAGAAGTTCGTCTTCATGGGGAATAAAGTCAAGGTTCCAGTGGAAGTCGTCGGGACTTATCGTTTAATCCTTGACACTTGGATATCACTTAGACCTTATGGATACTTTTTATGTACCTAGTATCACTAGAAATTTAGTTTCTTTGTCTAAGCTCGATGTTGCTGGATACTCTTTTAAGTTTGGGAATAGTTGTTTCAGTTTATTTAAGCGTACATGTATGATTGGAACTGGTACACTTTATGATGGTTTATATAAATTGAATTTGGATAATTTATATGCTGAAACTCTCATGACCTTGCATCATAATGTTGGCACTAAACGTAGTTTGGTGGATGAAAGATCTGCTTATTTGTGGCATAAGCGTTTGGGACATATTTCCAAAGAAAGAATGCAAAGATTAGTAAAGAATGAAATCCTTCCGGATTTAGATTTTACTGATCTGAATGTATGTGTGGATTGTATTAAAGGTAAACAAACAAAACACACAAAGAAAGGAGCCACAAGAAGCACTCAACTTCTTGAAATCATACACACTGATATATGTGGTCCATTTGACGTAAATTCTTTTAATAAAGAGAAGTATTTCATCACTTTCATTGACGATTTCTCGCGTTATGGATATGTCTATTTACTATATGAGAAATCTCAAGCAAGTAAATGCCTTAGAAAGTTATATAAACGAAGTGGAGAGGCAATTAGACGTAAAGGTGAAAATTGTCAGGTCGGATAGAGGTGGTGAGTATTATGGAAGATATGATGAAAGTGGACAACACCCTGGTCCGTTTGCTAAGTTCCTCGAGAAGCGTGGTATTTGTGCTCAATACACAATGCCAGGCACACCGCAACAAAATGGTGTGTCCGAAAGGCGTAATCGAACCTTAATGGATATGGTTAGGAGTATGTTGAGTAATTCATGTTTACCCGTATCGTTGTGGATGTATGCTTTGAAGATCGCCATGTATTTGTTGAACAGGGTTCCTAGTAAAGCGGTTCAAAAGACTCCTTTTGAGTTATGGACAAGTAGGAAACCCAGTTTAAGACACCTACATGTTTGGGGTTGTCGAGGCGAAGTAAGAATTTATAATCCGCAAGAAAAGAAACTGGATGCAAGAACAATCAGTGGATATTTCATTGGTTATCCGAGAAAAATCAAAGGGGTATATGTTTTACTATCCTACTCATAGTACAAGAATTGTTGAAACCGGAAATGCTCTGGTTCATTGAGAATGGTGAAACCAGTGGGAGTGAAGCTTCACGAAATGTGGAGATTAAGGAAATTAGAGTACAAGTTCCAATAACTAGTACATCTTCAAGAGTTGTTGTTCCAAATGTTGTAGAATCACACGACAATCAAGAAGAACAACAAATTAATGATCCTGAGATAAACAATGATCCGATAATAGAACAACCACAGGAAATAGTATTAAGAAGATCTCACGGAGAAAGAAAGTCTCGCTATTTCAAATGATTACGTGGTTTATCTACAAGAGTCAGAAAATGACCTAAGTATTGATAATGACCCAGTTTCATTTTCAGATGCCATTAATGATGATAATTCGATAAATGGTTAGATGCTATGAAAGATGAGCTTAAATCAATGACACAGAATGGTGTATGGGATCTTGTGGAATTGCCGGAAGGATGTAAGAGTGTTGGGTGTAAATGGGTCTTTAAGACTAAGCGTGACTCTCATGGCAATATCGAACGTTACAAGGCCCGACTTGTTGCCAAAGGTTTTACTCGGAAAGATGGCATTGATTATAAGGAAACATTTTCACCTGTTTCTAAGAAAGATTCCTTTAGAATTATCATGGCATTAGTAGCTCATTATGATCTTGAGTTGCATCAAATGGATGTTAAAACTGCTTTTCTGAATGGAGATTTAGAGGAGGATGTTTATATGAATCAACCAGTGGGGTTTATTGAAGAAGGAAAGGAACATATGGTGTGTAAACTTAAGAAATCAATATATGGACTTAAACAAGCTTCTCGACAATGGTATCTTAAGTTCAATGATACTATTTTGTCCTTTGGATTTAAGGAAAACACTGTTGATCGGTGTATATATCTGAAGGTCAGTGGGAGTAAGTTTATATTTCTGATTCTGTATGTTGATGATATCTTGCTTGCGACTAATGATCTTGGTCTATTAAGTGAGACTAAGAAGTTTCTCTCTAACAACTTTGAAATGAAAGATATGGGTGAGGCATACTATGTGATAGGAATAGAAATATTCCGTGATAGATCACAAGGACTGTTAGGTTTGTCTCAGAAAGCATATATTAATAAAGTTTTAGAGAGATTCGAATGGAGAAGTGTTCAGCATCTCCCGTTCCAATACGAAAGGAGACAAATTTAGTCTTATGCAATGTCCAAAGAATGACTTGGAACGGAAACGGATGGAAAATATCCCTTATGCATCTGTTGTTGGGAGTTTGATGTATGCTCAAACATGTACGAGGCCAGATATTAGCTTTGCAGTTGGTATGCTTGGTAGATACCAGAGTAATCCTGGACTGGATCATTGGAAGGCTGCAAAGAAAGTTTTGAGATACTTACAAGGAACAAAGAATCACATGCTTACTTATAGGAAAGTTGATCACCTTGAGGTGATTGGATATACAGATTCAGATTTTGCTGGTTGTAAGGATACACGAAAGTCAACATTTGGTTATGTGTATCTTTTAGCCGAAGGAGCGATTTCATGGAAAAGTGCGAAGCAGTCTGTCATTGCTGCATCCACCATGGAAGCTGAATTTGTGGCATGCTTTGAGGCCACAGTTCAAGCTAATTGGTTGCGGAATTTTATTTCAGGACTTGGAGTAGTCGACAACATTGCCAAGCCGCTGAAAATTTATTGTGACAATTCCGCAGCAGTCTTCTTTTCTAAGAACGACAGGTATTCCAAAGGTGCTAAGCATATGGAATTGAAATACTTTGCCGTTAAAGAAGAAGTTCAGAAACAGAGAGTGTCAATAGAACATATTAGCACTGATCTTATGATTGCTTGATCCTTTAACAAAGGGATTACCGCCTAAGTTGTTTGTCTGGCCATATAGTAAATATGGGCATTATGTTTACTAGTAATGAATGTTGAATGTTAATGTTATTATTAATGTTTATATGACACTCGAGATCTTTAATGTATAAGTTTCAAATTTGTGTTTTCTTCTTTATTTATATGCATGCAAATTATGATGAAGAAAACAAATTATGTTATTATTTTAAAATGATATTATGTTTGAACCCATTATGGACTTCTCATTATAAAGTCATATTAAGGAGAAAGAGATAATATAGTGGTACATGGAAGGGAGTCTGTCGATTGAATGATATGTAACCGCCATGACTCTTGTTATAATCAGTATCTTTAATTATGAATAATGATAGAATCAATTTATGTAAGGTCCTTAAATGCGCTTTATGACTTAAGTATTAAATCACAGAATCGTATGACATCACATGGGTCAAGTGGGAGAATGTTAGAATTAATTTTTAATTAATTCATTCCATTATGTGACTCATGTGAAATATTATAAAGGGCCCAAATGTGATTTAATAATTATAAGGACCTATTGGTTATTATGTGAAGTCAGAATAAAATAAAGATAAAATAAAATATTAATCGAATGTAACCAACTCGATGGACGTTGGTTAATAAAAGGGATTAGGGTTCGTCTCCGGCCATAAGGTCTTTTTCACGGTAAACCATCAAGAAAGCGAAGCGTGTGAAGAGAAAGAAAGCGCAAAGAGATAGATTGGGAAAAGGAGATTGGAGAACGAAAGGATCAAGAAGGATTCTCATGGATCAAGGTTAGTTCTCTTATTAGATTCATGTATTGATGTATGCAAATGTGAAAATCAATAATCTAAAGATCCTATAGAGTAGTTTTCTATAATGAATGAAGAACGTAGGAAAACTGCATAAAGTTTACATATACATGCCTTGTTCGAGTGTAATATAATAACCATTCCTACTACAATCTCAAAAAAATCACGGTCACAATTAATACAACTGAAATTAAAGTTGTCATCATAAATAAATAAATAATAAGAAAATCTCAAATGTTATCAAGACCTACTCACAAAACGACAAATGCTCTGTTTATTTATATTTATTTATTTGAGAAGATAGAAAGGTGAGTCTAATATCCTCGTAAATCGACTGTAAAATAATGAGAAATATAAAAATGGACGATTAAATATCAAATGTAAGAATTGTCTTTCTTAACTTTTATTTCATTTATATAAATATTTCATTACATCTTATAAAATTAATTTCATCATCTTCCTACAAATACTATTATTTAATTATCTATCTTTAATTACATCAATTATAATAAATCAATTCAAATTCTTTAAAATTTATTATTTTTTTCTAAACGCATCCAATCATATTCACTCCAACAAATTCTAACCCCAATCTAAACCAGGCTAGTTAAGCCTCCAAAATAGACTCAAGAAAAAGATGGGAATATTGATTTGCTCGTGATCACTCTATTAAAATGAAAATGTTCCCAAATACAACAATAATAATTTATTTTGTCAAAAATATTTTTATACTATGTAACCCATATTCATGTTTGTAATTTTTTTTCTCCATCAGATAAAAAACTGTAAACTTAATCTCATTTTTTTATAAATTAAAATAAACCATGCATAGAAAAACTCGTTGAGAAGTTGGACTGAAGATAAAAAGGAAAAATTACACAGATAATGCGGAAAGTGGTAATTAAAAAAATCAGAGACACCTGAAAAAAAATTTATTTATCTTCATTAAAAGGTTAAATTATTTTATGAAAAGATAAATTATACTGGCGACAGAGATATGTAGCGGAAATGGTGGAGCCAGCAAATATTTGCTTTGATGGTTTCTGAATTTTCATGCTTTATTTATTGCATTATGGTCGTGCCATTTATTTTACTTTACCATTCTGCACTCATTCGTCCCCAGTCTGTAGGCTGCCATATCCCCTCGTGTTTAGTGAAGAATCTAAACTAGAGTGTGTTTGGTATTAACGATCTATTATTAACCAGGAATAATATGAGTGGTTCGGTTTAACTTGATAAATTATGAGAGAAATTCCTCAACAAATACATTTTGAAAGTGGCTCAACATCTAGACATACACCGTAAGAAGAAAGAATTATTGCACTTGGTTTGGAGAAACAAATGGAGGAAATAAGAATGAATTATTAGAGGCCGAGAGAAGAACCTGTTCCAAGACATAGGATGGTTTGTGTTCAGTGTCTGGAATTACAGCAGCTACGAAAACACCAACTGCAACCTTTTCTGGGAACTTGTCCATGGCAAGTGCTATATTGAGCCCTCCAAGACTGTGACCTACTAGAACTACTTTCTCATTTGGGGGAATTGAGGCCAATAACTGCAACAAAGGCTCAGAGTACTGTGAGAAAGTATGAACATCTTCTATTTTCTGCGTGTTGGTGCCGGAAGCTGCAAGGTCCAGCACTGTGACCTTGTGGCCTGCAAATTCCAAGCGTGGCTTCAGCTTGTACCAAAGCCAAGCTCCATAACAAGCCCCGTGCACCAGAACATAGTGCTTGCTATCTGAAAAAATTTCTAAACTCATTATCTTTCCTTGTTCGGATTTGTATCCCTTCTCACTGTATATAGACACTGGTACGGTGTGGGTCTAGGTTAGTGTCTCGCTCATAAATAAATAGGCTCCACATACTGTCTCACTCATAAATAGCGTAAGAGACATGATGTATACACTTGATATTTTTTATTAACATCCATTTAATAATTATTTTAAAATTTTTATATTATTTCTTTCTTTCATTTTATTCTCTTTCCATTAATTTCCATTAATTATTGGGTTTGAGCCGAGAAAGTACGTCTTTGCTTATTATTATTATTATAGGTTGAATCGGTCCATTTAAAAATCCATTATTTATAAAAATAAATTTAATTAAACTGATATAAAATTAAAAAAATATATAAACTTAATAATATTGGTTGAATTGCTTAGTGGAATTAGTTTTGATAAAATATTTTTTTTATGTCACATTTAACTAATAATAAATTTATTATATTTATCTTTATTTTTTAAAAGTTGTATAATCTAATACGGTTATTAGATTTTTTTAAAAGTCATATTATGGAATATTTTTTTTTTATTTTTTACTTTTTACCATTTAATGATGGGAAAAAACCTTCTTAAGGTGTTACTTGAAATGGTTGTATAACGGTTATCAGTATGCTAATACAGTATGTAAATTTATGAAAATATATGTAAATATTAAATACAGTAAGCTATATATGAGTTCACAGTCACACCCATTGCCTCCACCAACATCTTCACAGTGTTTGCTTGCTTTGCAGGTAGTGGCCACCCAATTATTATATACAGACATTCGAAAATTACATCAGAAAAATACGACATGACTGAAAGTTGGTTCATATGCTTTTCACACTTTAAATTTAAATATGCTTTACGATTGTATAATATATTTACATAATTATATTTTATCATTTGATATCAGCTTCTAAATAATAACAATTGAATAACATATAATTTATTTTATAATTTTTATTTATATTATTTTTTATACAGATATTATAATCTTATATTACTCTAATAAATTAGAACTAAATAAAGAAAATTTTGATTATACAATATTTTGTACCATTATATAAACTTATAATTTAGCTAATCAAATATCTTTATCTCAACACTCCCCTCAAGTTAGTAAATGAATGTCATATATTTCCAACTTGTCTAATAATTTCCTAAAAATCTAACTTGTCACAGCTTTGGTAAGAATTCTGTCAGATCGTGTCATTAGAGGTATCCTTAAGCCTACTTATGATCTTGACCTCACCAGTAAAACAAGATACCCTATGAATAATTATATTTGTAATCAAAATATGCATGTCCTAGACACTTATGTCATAATCAAATATCCTCACCTTTTCTTATTTCTTGAGACCCTTTTGTTGCTAGCACTTACCAAGTCTCTTTGAATCTTTTTCTGTCAGGTCCAAGTAATACAACCTTCCTCGCTTAATACCACAATAAATCGTCTTCCTCGTTTGAATGTCCTTAAAAACACAAAAGTCAAGCCAAAAAATTACAACACATAAAAGAATTTTGGTTATTTGCGAGACTGACAATATGTTATATTTAAGAGAAGAAACAACAAGGACAATATTAAGATTCAAATTATTTGAAATAAAGATAGTTCATTTTCCAATAATATTGTATTTACTGCCATTGGTGGTGGAAATACTTTTTTGTGAGGAAAGTTTAAGATTTTTAATCTGTCTAACATCAAAAGTCACATGATCAGAACACACAGAGTCAATTATCCATGCATTATTCAGAACAGTAGATGTACTTATTAAAGTCATACCATTGGAATCATCACTACCTGCGATTGTAACAAACATCATGTCTTTGTCATCCTCTTTGTCAATGATAGTTACAGCAGCAGCAATTAGATTTCTTTTTTAATTCTTCTTCGATGTTCGACTGTGATCCCACCACTCGAGTATCCTATGATTTCATAGCATCGTTCCTTGGTATGTCCATCCTTATTACACTGAGTACACTTGTAGTTATATTTTTTAAAATCTTTTGATTACTTCGATTTGTTGTGATGATTTGCTGGCTGCTTTTTTGTCATCATAGTTATAGAATCAGAAATCATATCTTCTGTTTTCAGCGTTGTTCGCCAGACTGTCTCTCTCCGGATCAATGCATAGCATTCTTTTAAATCAGGTGTCACCTCATTGCACAAGATTTCTCCACAAACTTGCTCAAAATCATCATCCAGTCCATATGCACCCTTAATCTTTCAATGGACTGCTGATATGACTTCACATCATTGTTAAGTGCTAAAAAGTTGATATAATTATACTTTGAATTGTTATGAAATCACTTAACTTATGTTAATTCTAATATATTTTTCTCCCAATATAAGACAATTTTGAGAATACATTGATACAAGAGTAAGGAGCATGATTGTCAACATAATTGGAGCAAAACTAAAAGGAGGAAGAAAATTTTCAGCATGGAAGTCGTTCGAGTGAGATAGACTCTCACTTGAGCGAATATCAGTTATTTTTCTCTGGAAGTCAGTCGCTCAAGCGCCAGTAAATTCACTTGAGCAAAAATTAGTTATTCTTCTTTGAAACTCACTCGCTCAAGCGAGCATTTTGTCACTTGAGCGAAAATAGGGAACTTTCGCTTGAGCGAGTGTTGTCGCTTGAACGAAGGACGCGAAACCTAAAAGCGCAATTTCTCCTATAAAAAGATAAGACGAGTTTTGAGAAAAGGGAGCGGTTTTGGGGAGAAAAGGCACGACTACTACTAGAGTTTCATCCAATCTTCATCAATTCTTTACTTTTTCCACATTTAGAGTATTGTAAGGGCCAACATTAGTGACTAACTTCATTCTCTTGAGAATTGGTGCACTCCCTTTGAACTCTTTTGTATCATGGTGATATTTTGAGATATTAATCTATGTTTTGATATTGTTATTATTATCGTTTGTGCTTTGAAATGATTTATTCTTGATGTTTGGGATATGATTGGAAAATATATCTTGAACCCTAGATCACGGTAAGAATATTTGTTACGTTAATTGCCAATAATGGAATGAATATATCAATTGCTTAACACCCTTAACCTAATGCTAGAAAATCTCTTAATTGTATGAGGAATCAACATTTATTAGGTTTTTGTATGAATTTCATGTATGAGGAATTAACATGGATGATTTGAGTAGGTGACATCAACATTGTTAAGTTAATTGATATTCTTAATTGACATAGCCATTACAAAAGAGGGAAAAGGAAGAAAATCAATCCTAAGTGCCTTTACTTGACATTTTATAAACAATTTACAGTTCTTTGACATTTAATTTTAATTCAACTCTTTATGTCAAACACATTCTGTTTTAATCTACTTAGTAAACATATAATTGAGAATTTCCATTGAAATCGTTCCTCGTGGGATCGACTTTTATTTAATCGAAATACTATACTCGTGATTGATAATTTTAGTACGCTTGTCAATAATTCAACAAGTATTTCTGGCATCGTTACCGGGAACAATATTCCTTGAAAATTCTTTGTTTAGCTTATTAAGTATTTTATTTTTAATTCTGTTTTCTTTTTAATTTTAGTTTTATTTTGTTTAATTATTGTCTTGTGCTAATCTTTGCTTGAGTTACTCTTTGATTTATGCGTTTAAAAGGAAAAATATATTCAAAGCGGTTAAAATTTAATCCAGAGATTGAAAAAACCGCTCGAAGGAACCGTGGTAGAAGAAGAGAAACTCAAGAACAAGCCATAGGAGAATCACTTAACTCTTCTTCCACACTCAATTTATCAGACTCAAACATAAAAGACATGGCGGAAGAAGGAACAAATCTAAATCTAAATCCAAATTCACATAGAAAAATGCTCAGAAACTATGTTATGCAGCAAGGTCCTAGACACTTCTCCAGCATTGTCATACCAGCCGACCAAACATTAGAGATGAAGCCAACTTTCTTAAGCTTGATTAGTGTTCATCAATTCACTGGATTAGATCTCGAAAATTCATACATTCACTTGAAAAACATAGAATTCATTTTATAATTTTTATTCATATTATTTTTGTACACAAATACTATGATCTTATAGTATTTTACTCCAACAAATCGGAACTAAATAAATGAAGTTTTTATTATACAATATTTTGTACCAGTCATACAAACATATAATTTAGCTAATCAAATATATTTATCTCAACCATAACATATATTTTTAATATCTAAATATATCAAACATCTACTAAATAATAAGATATAATTATTTAAATATTTTAAATAAATATAAAATATATTCAGATTTAAAATGCAAAAGTATGTGAATTAATTTTTTTGTTATTATTTCTTGTCACCGTGGGTTTTGATGCTGGTTTGGGTTCTGATTTTAAATTCTTACTTTACGTGTGATAATGTTGTGTGACAAAGGAGTGACTCACTAACTTAAACATGAAGAAAATACATTTTATTTATGAAACTTTGGACCATGGATCTTGAAAATGAGGACTCATGTCCATGTATTATTTGATATTAAATTGATCCATATTCAGCATAATTGTTATGAAAGATAAAATACATATTACCCTTAATGTAACGGATGCAATTTCTTTAAGAAAAAGATTGGTTTACAACCCACTTTTTAATATAATTCATCCAACAACTTTACTTAATCATAATTTTAAATTATTTTTATTTTCATTAAAGCTTATTATGATTATTATAATAATAAGTTGAGTCGTTGAAAATGATGTTCTTTCTTGTGCACTTGTCTATATATCAGTTCTCGTTTCTATATGTTATGCAAACAACATTTTCAAGAACAATCCTTCTCTTTACCCTACAAAACTATTGATTTCAACCCATTTTATTTGCAAATAGGAAAGTTGTTGACAATGATTATATTTTTTTTAATTCAAACAATTATTGCAATTAAGGAAAACACTAATGCAAGACCACAAAGAGGGTCCAATATGTAACTAAAATTGTTTTTAAATGGTTCATGGTCCCTCCAGAGGTTTAATATGTGGAAAAAAGGTGCTTTGATTTGTTTAAGAAATTATTCTTACTTTAATATTTTTTTATTAAGAAGTAAATAATTGGAGAATCAACCCAATCTTAGCTTGTACTTTCGCAAATAATTTTTTATCAATTCCGGTAGCATATATTCATTTATACACAATTTCCTTATGCTGGATCCCATAACCATTCTAGAGTGGTTTGCGTAGGAAAACCATAAACTGAGGAAGAGTGTGGGATTGGTTTTCTTTAGCAAACATACATTGTGCTGTTAAATTTGGTTTTCATCCTTGTAATTTACCTTTTTTTTTATTATTTCTTACCTCTATTCTTTTTAGAAATTGATTCCTTACATTTTCAGAAAAAAAAAGTTTCTATCATTGTTGTTCATAATAAATTTTTTAATTTATTAACATAAATATAAATGATGCCATGATGGTTTACATTTATTTATTCAATATTTAATATAATAGTTTATTAATTTTGTTTGGTAAAAACATTAATAATTTTTTCAATAAAACAAAATATTGGAAACCTAATTACTAAGTCATATTTGCTTATTATATCTTCACTAAAAATACCATTAGAAAGGGATGGAAGTAAAATAATTAAGATAATACTTATTGTTAATTGAAAAAAAACTCATACACTAGAATAATTTCAGGATACAATAGAAACAAAGAGTATTGGTATTTTATTATTCTTCCATTAAATATTCGTTTCGAAAGAAAACTGAAAAAAAAAACATTGGATTTTTTTTTCAAGTCGTGGCCCTTCAATACATGTCGGGTTTATTATCTTTAGCTAGATTCTTTTTTTTTTTTTTTTAAGAATTTGAGCATGATATCTTTTTTGTGCTTTTGCAATGTTCACTTTGTTTTATTTATTGCCACATACTTGCAATTGAATTTTTTTTTTTCAGTTTTATCCTCCTCCCGGAGCATATTAACATGGTTGAAAACAAATTATTCTCAGAAATAACATGTATTTCCAATTATACTGACATGCTTAGAATGCGTTAATGCAATTTTTTTAAAAATAAATTGAGATATGATTATATTTTACTCTAATAAAAATGCTTTATATAACTTTATTAATGCAAATAAATTTCTATTTTCTTACTATATAAGAAGGAAACTTAAGATTAATAGAATTGTTTATATTTCGTATGACTTTTCTTACATATTTTTCCTTAAATCTTACAAAATTTATAGGAAAATTAGCGAGATCCTCGTTTCATATGAACTTTTATAAAAAAAATGTAAAAAGTTCATGCCAAATATAAATAATTTTTAACAGTATAATGTTATTACATATTTTTCAAAAGAAATTTAGCATATATGGTTCATAAATGTAAAATCAAGAGATGTATATATACTTTACTCTTTTAACATATCTGTTGCATTACTTCCAAGAGAAAACTTTGTGGCACTATTGTTATAATAGTGAGTAAGAATGCAACAAAAATAAATCATTTGAAGAAAAAACTTTTCAATTTTTTTTTGTAAAAGATTTAGGACCATTATAACTTTAAAGCACGCTTGATTGATAAATGTGTAGCTACAGACAAGTTTCCAATGCATAAAACAACACAAGAGAGTATGAAATTGAATATAAAACCATGAAAATTTAGCATGATCCTTGAGTGTATCTATAAAGAAGTTTGATTGTACGTATATAGAAGAACATAAAATCAAATTTCACATTATTTTAAAATACAATATGAACAATAAAAGATTAAAAACTAGAAAGATCGAAACTTGGCAACAAAATGCTGTACTCTTGCAAAAAAAGAAGATCAAGACAAAGGAACCAGGGAAACACACAAAAATTACTCACAATATGAAACTTGACACACGATTCACACTTAGTGAAAACGCGATGCGAAGAGAAAAATATCCAAATGAAATAATCAAATCAGAAAAGGAGGAACTTGTCAACAACTAAGTGTTGTTTTGGGAAAAGATATGCATATGATACGAAAGTGAAGAAGTACAAAAGCCAAAGTCATAATCTTTGTGTTTATCACACTCAAATGTACTTAATAAAAATTGGAAAAAAATTCCCATTGACATCAAAGGTTTTGATTTCTGAAAAAACAAAAATCAACAGGCAACAAATATCATGAAATCATGCATATTTAGCAGCCATTTGCAGGAGAGAATCGCATAGTTCTTGTGGCTTGCTAAGCATAGGCATATGATCTGCACCTTTGATCTCTACAACGTCATTGACGCCAGCATTTTGAATCATCCAGTGCTGAAAATTCAATGGAATTATAAGGTCCTCAGTGCAAACAATAGATGCAAGAGGAACTGACCCATATCTCTCTTTAGAAAAAAAATTCTGCTGAGACAAGTCTTCGATAAAGAGGGAACTTGGCCTCACTAAAGTTTTGGCCAATTCTATATCCTGCAAAATCCAATCCTTATTTTTGTTTTCATAAAGAAGAAAAACATATTCTTCTTTCGACGTGCAATAGTGAATGGAATAGAAGGTTGCAACATGTAATAATTGTACCTCAACGGAGGAGCATTGGTAGAGTTTGGTGGAAGAGAATATGGGACCAAAAACAACTACTGTTTTGTTTCCACTCTGGAAGAATTCACAGTCCAACCAATTCTGAGGTGGAGTATTCTCAAGGTGCTGTTTATGTCAAGAAAATCGCCAAGGTAAAGTCTATTTTTCCCATTTTCCTCCATTTTATCATAAACGAATAAGATGTAAATGTGCAGTATGTAACTACTCAGAGAAAAATATCATTGTTTTATTAATATATACCCAGTTACATGTTTTGAAATTTACAGAATGGGTAATTATTTAATAAGTAATCTTGCTAGTATTAATAAGACTTGGTATATATTATCAATTCACACTATCTTATATTATGAATGCATATTAAATTAAAAGTATGTCTGTGTAAATCATTAAAAATAAGGCTAATACGCATGCATGTAATACATCAGATTTCATGAATCTAACTAATTGTACAAAAAAGGAAAGACGTGCGCAAACAAATTGTATTTAAAATAATATAGATGTAAATTTGAAAAAGTTGGGCCACCAACTACGTGCTGCTTGTTAAAAGATTTTTACGAATAATAGTATATGGGTCCATATTTCCGTGGACCTGTTATGTTACATCTTTAAGTCCATGGTTTGTACTGTTGTCTGTTGATCACTATCAACTATTCTAGATATTCATCAACTTTTAAGTCTGGGATTCCACACTGAGATTCTGAAGATCAATATTCACTGATGATTTTGAAATAAAATAATATATTATTAATGAATAAATAAATAATATTTTTTATTTAATATAATATTTATTTTTTATTTTTATTTTTATAAGAAAAATTAAATAAAAATTAAAACTATAATTATACAAATAAATATATTTATTAAATTTAAAACCAAAATTATAAATATAAAAATAAATTATAACAATTTGGACTTTGGTCCTTTACACTAAAAAAACATCCACCACTATTTTATGTATTTGTATTATTTTTATAACGACCGTTATAATTATTTTAAATCTATATATAACATTGATTTTAATATATAATATGAAACTACTAAAATGTTTTAAATTCATAAAATTATGTGAACACAGTCTGTTAAAACAATACGAAATAAACAAAATATTATTAAACTCGTGAACATACTTCTGTATACATAGTTTCCGTCGGGTGAGAAAATTGTGCAATTTGTTTTGTATGCTGAAGATGAGGCTGAGAAACAAACCTTTTCTGAGACATAGGATGGCTTGTGTTCAATGTCTGGAGTTAGAGCTGTTAAGAAAACACCAACAGCAATTTTTTCTGGGAATTTGTCGATGGCAAGTGCTATGTTGAGTCCCCCAAGGCTGTGACCCACTAGAATCACCTTTTCATTTGGGGGAATTGTTGCCAATAGCTGCAACAAAGGCTCCGAATACTGTGAGAAAGTATCAACATCTTCTATCTTCTGCAAGTTGATGCCAGAAGCTGCAAGGTCCAGCACTGTGACCCTGTGACCTGCAGATTCCAAGAGTGGCTTCAGCTTGTACCAACACCAAGCTCCATGGCCAGCCCCATGCACCAGAACAAAATGCTTCTTTCCGGATGCCATGGTGATGTTTTTCTGTTGATGGTTGTATTACACTTTGCATTCCTTATTGCTATATACAATAAATGGGTCCCATGTGGACTTTGGTTAACAAAAATTCCAATTATTTACTGTAAATTTAAATGTTGAAACTAAAATGTTCATTGCTTCACTTGGGCTCCTCCATTTCCAGGGGAAGTGAATAAGTACAGAGTAGAGTTGAAAAACATTGAAATTAATAGAAAATAATAATTTTAATACAAAAATAACAAACAAACAAAATTATTTTTTATTAACTTTATTTTTCTATTTTATATAAATTAAAAAGAGTAAAAAATAGAAGAAAAATATTATTTTATAAAATTATTTTTATTAAATAAATGATTATTATTTTTTATATTTATATATATATATATATATATATATATTTAATTATTATTTTAATAAGATATTATAAATATGAAAGTGATTATAATAGTTAAATGAATAATTTTAATTTTATATATATTTTAATTTGTTTGTAATATGATATTATTTCATTAATTTAATATTAAAAATAATAAAAAATATTTTATAATTATATGTTGACATATATATATATATATTAATTTACTTTTAAAAATTATTAATAAAATTAATTATTAATTATATAGGTATTTTTATATTTAATTTAAATTTGATTATTTACTATTTTTTAAAATAATATTTTCCTTCATTTTCATATCACTCTATTTCATCTCTTTTTCCCATTTTTGTTTTCATACTTGCTTTCCTTATTACCGAAATCCAAGGCGTAAAAACATTAAATATCTAAATTAATGTTTAAAATAATCAATTATAGTAATAGACGAAATATATCTTAATCTTATTAACTACTTTTCTCAAAATTAATAATTTAATCGAAAATATATCTTACTTATTTAATAAAAAAATATAAAAAATTATTTTAAATTCATTAGATATAAGAGTATTAATTTTAATACAAGCTTTATTTAAATAAAACAATATAATTTGAATATAACTCAAATCAAAGTTTAAATAAATTAAAATTAAAAATCACTTCAAATTAATTAAATAAATTTTTATTTTAAATCTAATCTATTATCATATAATTAGATAACGTATATCTTTACTCTCCAAAAAGTCTCAAGTAAAAAAAAAAAAAAACTAATTAATCAAAGGTTGAAAGGAGTTTAAATTTTTTTTCACTTTAAAATGTCGTCGTATAAGAGCGGGTGAGAATGTGGATCAGTAATGTAATCTTATTTCATTTTGATCTACTCTGCTCTTATATTTAATATTTTAAAAATAATTTATTTTCTTTTTCATATATAATATATTTTTCAATATTAAATATTTTTTCATAAATTATATATTTTAAAATAACAATTTAAATAATAATTAATTTATATATATACATATAATAAAATACAGTGTTATAATATAAAATAATAATAATAATAATATTATAAATATTTTATATTCATGTAAAGAAAAATATATTAAACATTTATATACATATTTTAATATAAATATAATAAATTAAAATATGTAAATTTAATTAATAATAATAATTAAATATTATAAAATTATAAACATCTATTTTTTATAAAAAGTATTTAAAATAAATTTATTATATATAATTATTTTTTTAAAATAATATGAAACGGGAAGGGATGGAGAAAACCACAACCAAAGAAGACAAAAATCAGAAACGGACGAACGATTGAAAAAAAGTCAGAAACGAGATTGAGTCGCCCAAAGTCGCTGCTATGCCTATTTCCGTGACACACATAATTCACGCGAGAGATTCCAATTTGGAAAGCTCTACATGATTCGGGAAAAATGCTATTTACTGTGATTTTGACATTTCCTCGTTGAAAACTTTCACAGTTTGTTAATTTTTTTTTCTTTCATTCATATATATATATATATATATATATATATATATATATATATAAATCTCTTAAATATTTTTTATTTAATTCTTCTAATAATTTTTTAGTTAAATAACTTTTTAGTTAAATAACTTTTTAATCATGAAGCATTAATGGTGTTATTGTACCGGCATGTGAAATAAAGTGTTTTGCAATCTCTTAAGGTAAAATTAATGTAGAAGACTTAATGCAAGTAAAAGACAAATCACAAAATCAAATATTAATATCAATTGTTAAATTCATACTGTTAAAGTGATAACACTTGATTGATGGAGGCCCACCAAATTCATTATTAACTCAATGGGTTGGCATTATTCATTGTGAATATAATTTATGTAAATGTGTAATGTACATTTATTCTTTTATTTCTACTCTATAAAAAAATTATTGGACTAAAATAATCCTTGATTTATTCTCATGATAATTCGATAAAAAGTTGTAAAATATATATATTACATGTCCAATACAAAGAACTGAAAATAGAAATATGAATGAATATTCGAGTAGGATATTTTCAATTATTTAAATTATATGAGTATTTTATAAATGAAGAAAATATCTCTTAATTTTTATATTCTATAAAAGATTATATATTTATTTCTTTATTTCATTAATCTTGTTATTCATTAGTTTATATGCTGAGTTAAGTATTTGAGTGTCTTTTAATGAAGGTAATATATATATTGATACGAAATTTGCTTGCTTTCATAAAACTTTGCACGAATTAAGTTACGGTTAAACTAATATATGTTTTTGGTCAAATTATCTTGTTAAGAATTTGATCAATTCCAGCTTGAAAATTATTGAATCCTCGCTCTCAAGAGTGAGTTTAGATGAATTTGTTTAATGAAAATGGAATTTGTATACGATAAGTTCAATTTATTCATCGGCAGGAATTAACAAGAACAAATTCAACTTCATATATAATGATTTTTTTGGTAAATAAAGTTTATATAGATCCATGTGTATATGAAATATGACACACAAATTCAAATATTTCGCTTTATTGATCTGTGTTATCATTTCAAACGAGATCTTATAATTCTAACAAAAGTCAAATCCAAAGACAACACAAGTAAACTATCTTTTGTTTGAAAGAAGAATTTATAGGTTATAATTATTTTTATTGAAAATTTAAAATGATTTATGATAAATAATAATATTATTTGGATGTAAAATTTTAATTATTAAAGATTTAAGTGTTTACGAAAGTAATTTAATTATTTAAATAAATTATTTTTAAATTTCATATTAAAAAATAGATTTTGAAATGTTAAATAATTTGTTCTTTCTTAAATTTATATATATATACTGTTATCCAAATAAAATATTTGAAAAATTAAACATCTTAAAATAAAAACAAATCAAATATACCTTGAATTGATACATAGAATTTCATAAATTAAAAAAATTACTTTTATTTTAAATTAGTTATTTCTAAAATATTATACTTGAATAAAATATGTATATTATAGAATATTTTAATTATCATTAAACATAAATCTTATTTTAATAATAAGTAATTTTTAATAATTAAAAAATATCAATATATTTCGGTTGATGCAACCCTGTCTCAGATCCAAAAAATTCTCACTGACATATACCAAAAAATACTTCTATTAAAGTTAGAAATAATTGTATTAACATTAATAAAATAATTTAAAAAAAAAACACGAATAACTACAACTTATAAACAAATTTTGTCAATTTCAAATAAATAAGAAAATAATACTCTAACTTTTAGTTTGTGTATGATTTGGAAGGAGATTTGAGGTGATTTAAAATATATGGTAGAATTATTTAGGAAAAAATTAATAGATTTAAAGAATTTTGAATGGATTTATTATAATTGATGTGACTGAATATAAAAAAATTAAATAATAATTTTTTTGCAATAACTAAAATACTCTTATTATTGAAAAGATAAATTAAGTAAATATAATAATTATGATCTAATTGAATATAAAAATGTTAATATATTAATAAAATATTTTATTAAATTATAAAAATATTTTAAATTAAAATTTAATAAAATTAAAAATAAATTATTTTATAAAATAACTAATTTTAAAGTAATTATTAAAAATTTTAAAATTATATAAAAATAAATTTTAAATTATTAATAGAAAATCATGTATAAAAAGTGTTTTTAAATACAAATTTAAAAAATAAAATATAATTAAAAAATGTATAATAAAAAATAAAATCAATAACATTATTAAGAAATAAAATTTTATTTAAATATAAATTTAATTTTATTATAATTAAAAAAATATAAAATTACGTATAACTATAATATTATATATTATTAATATTAACTCATATATATAATAAATATAATACTTTTTTTTTCAATATAATGGATTATTGATGTTTGTATAAATTATTATTTATATTATATAATTGATTATACAAATTTATTTATTTGAGTAAGTGTTTATTTTTCCGCATTTCATAAATATTTCTTTTTTCCATTTTTATTTTACTTATTTCTTCTCACTTAAACATAAACAAATAACATTATTCAGTATAAACACAATTTTATCAATGAGATCTGATTGAGATCAAGTAAAAAAAAAACACAAATCTGATAAAAGAAAAAATTTAAGAAGAATTTAAAATTATTTTTTATGAAATGTAAAATTTTCCTCGGGAATTGTTACCATTTTAATTTCTTAACTAAATAACATTTTTATAGAAAAATATTTGAAATTCCTCATAAAAGGAAATGCTGCACGGATTTATAGTGTTTAGTATTGCATAAGAGAATTGAACAGTTATTGTGGCTTACAATTCTATAAAGTCAATGAAGGCAGCATTTGGATCATTCAGAGCTCCAGATTCCAATTACAAGGTCCTCACCGCAATCAATCAAGGCACCTCCAGAATTTTTGTAAATGTTTCTAAGATCGGAGAGGCTAAAATATAAATGGAGTTTAAAGTTTTAATAATATAATAAAATTATATTTTTTAATATAATAAATATATAATATATTTATTATTAATAATATTTAAAAATAATAATAATTATCATAAGTTACAATTTAGATTATAAATATAAAATATACTAAAAAGTAAAAAATATAT